GCCACTTTACATGGGGCCCGAGCTTCAGGCAGGAGCCCTTCCGCCTGGCCCAGGGATGCTGGGGACCAAAGGCGGGGACCCGCTGCGTGCAAGGGAGCTTCTCCCCACTGAGCCACAGGGGCCCCTCAGCCCTGGCTGGCCCGGCCGTGGCTCCTGCTTCCCAAGGATTCTATTGAGCGAATGGGACCAGGAGGGAGGGAGGGGGAGAGAGGGCTCCTTGCCGCCGCTGGTTCCACGTTCCAGGCAGAAGGGACATTTCGTTCAAGGAAGCAGGGGGCCTTTTTAATTCGCAGGCGCACGCCAGCAAGGCGGGTCCTTCTTGCCCAAGTCGTGACGGACTCTCCCCCTCTCCGTCCCCTGCTGTCTATCTCCATTGGCTTGCCCGACATGACCGCTACCGGCGCCTATAAATCTTCCCTCTCGACATCCATCAAGCACCTCCATTATCGATCATTCCCTGGCCACGGCACGATGCAGCTATTAATACAAAGACTCGCCGGCGACAGCATGAGAGACGAGCTGAAAAGCCCTGAACGGGGTGCCCCGGCAGATCTCGAGCCCAAGCAGTGCCTGGATTCCTGGGGAAATTTATTGGGTGTTCTTCTTCCCCTCAAAGAGATTGCTTGTAGTAAGTGGACCACACTTTCTTGAAAAACAGCCTGGCCGCACCTCGCCACTCCCCTCAGTTTGCAGACGGGGAGCTGGATTGAGAGTGCCTGGGCGGAACTCTCAATTTTCACAGACCCCAAAAGATTTGGGCTGCTTCAGAGACTTCCCGAGAAATGGCTTGTTCATGCGCATCTCATTATGGGGCAGGGGAACAGAAACAGGACAGGACACCCTCATGCATGTCTAATCCCTTGGTGCGTTCTCATTCCCGCTGCTATCCTTCTTCCTTATTGGAGCAAGTTCAGACATCACCCTGGAGTCCAGCAGTGCCCGGGGCAGCTGAGGAACCCCGTGGTGCGAACAGAGGAAGCACCAAGCCCACCGAAAACAGCACTGAAATCTAGCAACAACCACGTCCGTGTATGGATGGAACACAACGCAATATGCACACAAACACTGGATAACACCCAGATGGTGTGGACACTCCGTTCTAATTCTGCTCACAGCGAACAGTTTACAGGTGAAATACATGCAGGCCAGAAGATAAACAACAGTTGCAAGGGCAATCGCAGCCGGGGGGTTTTGAATCTATCAGCAATGTATAAATTATTGGGAGTCAGGAACCCTTGCTGATCTACTGATCGCCCAAAGATCTATCAGTAGACCCCAAATTACCTTCTACCTGCCACTAGTCCAAATGAACCAGAGAAAGAGAGAGAACATGAGCGAGCAAGCTATAATTTCGGGGTTTTCCAGGGACAAAGCATAACCCTCATACCAGAAGAGCTGCACTGCAGTTGTAACACAAGAAAAAGAGAAGAGGAGCAACACGAACATTCGCATGAAATTAAAACCGGGTCCCATCTTGAAAAAATGGAATTAAAGGAGCAGGAAAAAGCCTGACCATTTCCAGAAGGCACTAATACACAGAAGCTTCTCAGAGGAAAAGCCTGTGTGGAAAGGCTGAAAAGCACACAGACCTCTCCAAAGGACACCAGAGGCTACTTTTTGTAATGCAAAAATACCTTCTGAATTAAGCAAGAGTGCCAGCCTATTTGTCACTCACTCATCGGCTCCAAACAGGCATGTCTCCAAAGAAAATGTGTGTGCACTGGCAGAGGCCACCGTCCTCGCCACCTTCAGATGACTGGCTCTTTTGACAGGAGGTTTGGTCGCCAGACGTTTCCTTGTTTCTGTTGGCCCAGGCTACGGGAACGACGACTGGTGTGGAGGGCTGGGTGACTGGCAGGAGATACCAAGATTATCTGTTTTGTTTTCTTTTAATATCTTTGCTGAAGAATGTTTAAGAATCATCAAGAGAGAATCAAGCCACTGGATGAAGTCTCGAGTAGCCAAGTGTGAGCATACCAGAGATATGTGAACAAACTTATGCTACTGAATAGCTTCCATAGAACTGGTTCGGGGTTAAAGGGGGGGGGGGAAACAGGGGAAAGTTGCACTAATCCCATCTTGTTAGAGGTTATAGTGAGACACTGGGTGGGTTCTTCTGTCATGACAAACAAGGGTGACGGCTTTTCACCACTGGTGATCACACGCCATGTTTTCCCTGGGAGATGATCGCAAATCCATGGGGGATCCATTGTGCCCCCCTCACCCCAAGTCTTCCTATGCATCCCAGAAGCCCTTGAGAACAAAACCTCCTTCTCCATGTATTTCCCTTCTGACCTCAGATGCCTCACCCTGGCTGGTCAGGTGCAGTTTTGCAGAAGGGTCTCCCACTTCCGTCTCCTGGCTTTTCCTCCAACCAATCCAGTCCCCAAGGGGGCTTTCTTTCACTGAAGTAAACACTTTTGTTGTAACGTCTCCCTTTTCTCCCTGACAACTGAACAGGGCTGCAGACACAGCAGTCCGTCAACAGGTGCAAAGCAAGTGATGCTGTGTGTGTTGCTAGGAAGCTGTGGGTAGTAGAGACTGGATGCCTGGAATGGCCCCTTCTGTTGCTGCTCTTTCCACAGGACTCTATAGTATCTTCTCATCATCCAGTGACCCAGAAAGTTTTAAGAATCCTTGATTGTTTGAGCCAACACAGGATCGGTTGCTTCACACTTTGGGAACCCGTGTCTTATTGAACTAACTGGTTTAAGACCTCAGGAGAGGCAGGTAAGACAGGTATGGAGTCACGGGCAATCCATGCCACCACACCTGTCAGCCACTTCATCCACCGTGGATGCAACACAAAGCACCCCAAACAGGAAGAAAGCACAAGCTTGGGAGAACAGCTCCTTTCTCCCAGCGTTTGTTCACATGGTCGACTGTTCCCCATGACAGACCTCGATTCTAAAAGACACAATTCCTAATCATTCCCTTTGGACTCGCGGAACAGAAAACTAGGTGCCTTCAAGTCTGCCAGAGACACTGAGCTCCCTGAAGCATCAGGCCTTGGGATACTGGCTTGATTTTGAATCCTGACAGGCCTTTGCTTGAATATTTCTCTTTTCTTTTTTAAAGAGAGCTGGGGGGTGGGAGAAAAAGGAAGCCTGAAAGCACTTCGTTTACTGAGAGATTCTGAAGCTTAAAAAAAAAAGAAACAAAAAACAAAAGCATCTGAGAGAATGATGCATTTTTACAAAGGGATTGTCGCCACATGGAGCCGTTCCCTTTAAAAATAAAAAGGGAGAGACGCACTCAGAACCTGTACTAAAACATCAGCCGCACCAGCCCCACGTTAACTTCAAAGCGTGGAGGAGAAAGGATTACCTACCAGGCAGGGCCTCGGAGATTGCAATCTTTCCCCTTTCAGGGAAGGGAGTGCACGAGGAGGGGAAGGAGCTGGTTTTGGCGGGACCTGCTTGTACCTAATTAAGCATTCTTTCATCAAGGACAACACAGACAGTGACTCCAAGGTGACCAGACTGTGTGACTGGGCCGAGGGGTGGGGGGAAGACAGACTTGGAAAAGCAGATCAAAGGGGGAGGGGGGAGGCAGGCGGGCAGGTGAAGTCAAGTCAGGCTGTTCCCCGGGAGAGCCAGAAAACAAAAGCAAAACAAGCCCCCGGGCACACAAAAGGTGGCCTGCGCAATGCCGTGCAGGGCGGATGCACGTCACCTCTGGGAAGGGAGGTCACAGAAGCCGCACTGCTCTCCCGGAGTGGGGGCCACGCTCCGGAACCTGGAGAGGGGCTACCATGGAAGCAGAAATCCGGGGCGGTTTTGGCGGTGGGAAGAGGGCACATACTAGCCGGTGTGGCAGGCCGTGATTCCGCTGTGGCTTCCCTTTGGGAGGCGGGGAACCATTTCCCCCAAGAACGTATTTGTTGCTATCCTGCGTTTTTCCTGCAAGTTACCCAAGGCGGCTTCTGCACTCCTCCTCCTCCTCCCCGCCTTTCTGGCCTCACAATAACCCTGCGAGGTAGTTTGAGAGCAGTGACTGGGCCAGTGAGCCTCGTGGCTGAGCGAGGACTAGAACCTTGGTCTCCTGAGCCGGTCCGGCGCTCTAACCATTATGCCCCGCTGGCTCACCTTGCATAGCCCCAGATGTGCTGTTATCTGAACCGCCCGACAGCCACAGGTTTCGCCGCTTCAGGGAATGGGGAGCCGCAGGACTGAGGCGGCAGCAGGCCACCAGGGAGACGCCAGAGGGAAAAGATGCTGGGCCGCAATCCCCACCATTCCCGGCCAGCATGGGCATGGTAGGGACCCTCCATGGGGGATGATGGGAGGTGCAGTCCAATGCAACCGGGAAAGCTGCGCTCTGGCTTTGCCACATGACCTGCACATTGTATCCGCTCATTTGGTTGCCCAGACAAGCCCTGGCTAGGGGGGAGTTTCAGAATGAAGAGCATTTTCACTTCTTCCCACCAGAACGCTCAGAAGAAAGAAAGGAAACATCGAAATCACACAAATAGGGATTCTGGCCCCTACTCATCGTCAGGGGAGCGGAGGACAGAAGGACTCCCCCACCACAAAGCTGGAGGCAACACTTCGACCTCAGAAGGGGGAACCAGAAAGCCCACCCGTTCCCACCCCCCTTGCACGGAAAGAAACGAGTCAGCGGGTCTCCAAGCTGAGAAAGCAACTCTGGGGAGAGAGAAATCGGGGTGCTCCCATTTGCAGGGAGGGGAGGGGAGGGGTGCAGAGGCGCCGGAATACAAGCCAGCCCAAGAGGCTTCCAGCCACCTCCCCTCCCCTTCTAAAGCCCCCTTGCCAGACCGGCTAAAAATCCTCACGTGAGGACAGAAAGGGTTCCGCTGCACCTCTCGCCCTGCTGGCGTTAAGCACCGCAGGGCACCGGCCCAGAAAAGCCTCCGTGCCCCAAGGCGTCTGTCTCACGAGAGCACCGCACAGACCCCTACCCCACAACACCACTTCCGACACATCGTCACATTAAAAAAGGCTCGGCCTAGCATGCAAAGAACGGGCCAAAAGAGGTACCTGCAAGAGGTCTCACGGAAAGAGATGTTCAGATCCCAGTGTGCATGTATCCTGTTGAGAGAGGGGGGAAGAGAGAGAGAGAGAAAAACAGCTTTCAGTCGCAGGGGCCCGACATCACAACATAGCTTACAGAAGTGCACCTTCACCGCGCCCTCGTCTCAAACACAGCCAAGAAAAGCGGGTGAGCGACGCGTGGCCCTCCAGACCCTTTGGCCGGCGGCTCCCCTCGGCCTGCGCTGGCCCAACCAACGGCGAGGCCTGGCAGGGGTTCTAGGCCAACCTGTGCGGAGGGCCGAGTCCGCTTCCCCACCCCGGCCATGCGGCTGCAGGCCCTCTCCCACGCCCGTCGCATTAGAGCTGCGTTTCCGCTTCTACACAGACATGGACCCAGCGCTGGCTACCCTGTGAATGCCACTTACAAACACGCTTTCACACTTGGGTTTATTTCGGGTTTAAACTCTGGCCAGCCATTGTCGCAACATCCCCTAGTGAGTATGGCCAAAGGCACCTAAGGTTGGAGGCCCACAGCGAAAGAGGCAGTTCCAAAAGCCCAGCCTATTTTAGTAACTAGGCAAGCGGGAGAGGCAGATCAAGCTCCGATATTTGGGAGGTGGGGGGGCTTCGCGACGGCCGGGAAACACCCAGACAACTTGGGGTCCAGAGAAAGCGGGCACAGCCTTCTGAAGAGGCCTGGCCTGGATCCTGAAGTCTGACGTTCTGCACTCTTCCTCTACACCATGGATAAGGTGCGACTACCTGGATGGCAAAGGAGGAAATGAACCGTGCGGCGGGCAGAGCAGTCGCGCTGGAAAAGTGTGGCCCACAGCTGCACACGCAGGAGAAGGGAGGCGGAGGACGGCAGGCAGAGACGGCGCCTTGTGTAACGGGATGAACCGACAGGAAGCAGCAGCAGCAGCCTGGCACGCATTCAGGAAGCCCCACGCTGCTCTGCGCTGCGCGGCTCCCCCCAGCCCCCTCCCTCCAGCTGTAAATAAATCATTAGCCCTTTCCCCACCTCTGAAATTAATTCTGCACGTTCTGCCTGCGAGCAGGAGAGACGAGATTCCAGACAACAGGCAGCCTAAATTTAGACGCTGACAGGCAAGAGAGGATGCGATCGCCCTGCCACCGCGGTTGGCACCGGGTCCCGGGCAGCCCCCCCACGGTGCCTCGTCACCTGTCGTCTTGGAGAGCAGACGGACTCAGTATGTTGCAGGGAAGCCCAGGGCCTGCAGAGAGCCAGGATCAAGTCCCCAGGCTGCCAAGACATCCTTTGGTGCCTCAGCCTGGCTGGCCAACAGGGATCTTTCGCTACCCATCTGGGAAATCCGGGTAAAGCTGTGCCTCCGAGCCCTCTTGCACAGGAGTGGCAGGGAGATGGCTGACTTCTGCCTCTTGGTTTGCCCCTTCTCTGCCTCCAACCAGGTCGACGTCCAGATGGTGCCGGGAGAAGGGGCGGCAAGAGAGCGCTCACGTCCTCTCGCCCGCCAGCAAGCCAGCGGGAGCAGTGGCAGCCAGCGTCAAGGCAGGCGTAGTGGTGCCAACGGCCCACGGCAAGACGGGGCACCCTCCTCCCCACAGCCAGCTGCTTCTTCACCTGCCTCCAGCATGGACCTGACCAGGGTGCTGGCAAGAAGGGGAGCAGGTGGCGCGACTGCCTGCATGGTCCCTGGTCCCCACCTGGCAAACCGGCAAGTGGCAGCCATGGTGAGAAAGGGTAAGCCGCCAGCCCGGTTGCTGACTGAAGGAGAGCTCAGCCCCGGGCCTTAAAACCCAGGGGCCATGCGGCATCCACCCATCTGCTGACCTGGTCTCTATTTCTCTGCTCCACCAAGACCTTTGCAGCCTCCCAAGCCTCGTATTCCTTTGCCTCTGGGCCCCCAAGCGTGCAAAACCCGGCCCTGCAGGTCCTGGAGCTCAACCCTGCCCGGCCCACCAGGGTTCCCACCAGGCCCAGACGGCCCGCGTCCTCTGCAAGCAGCTTGCTGGGTGGTTTCCCAGCTTGTGCATGATTTTTGCTTTATTCCAAAGGTCGAAATGCCTCTCCAAAAGCTCAGCGGAATGTTTAAACTAGAATATCTGGGTATTTGGGGAGTCTTCAAGCATCGTTTTAACCTCTGGCCTCGCTCCCCACTGGAATGTGGCACCCCAAAGCCTCTCCAACATAGAATTGCCCCTTGGGCTAAAAGAAGTCCGAAATCCCTGCTGTACAGCAATGGCAGCATATAAGCAAACAAAACAACACCCCCCACCCTGCACACAGCGCCTTTCCAAGCCTTTAGCCCTACAATCAGATTGTGCATTATTTGCTGCTCCAATTTATTTATTTTCATTTTTTTGGTAAAGCTATCTCCAGAAAGTCATCCAGCATCTTAATGGGCCACCAGAGGAACTCCTGGCTCTCTCTCTGTTCCATTCGAAGCTGTTTCCCCACGAAGGTTTCACATGGCTCAGAAGCAAAGTCTGCTAGGCGCATCGCAGTGTTTGTGCGCAAGGGAGGGGAAACCGTTGCACAACAAAAAGCAGAGCGCATATTCATACCTTGGCAACTGCCGCTATCTGTGGAGCTGGATAATTAAGCACCCGTATTTAAACAAATGAATAGGTAAGAAATGAAATTAAATCCCAATTATCTTCTATCTCCTTCCTTCCTCCCCCCTCCCCCACCCCTTTTCTGGGCAGCTTAACCAAGCACTCGCTCTATGCTTTCCTAGTTTCTATGGTGTTATCTCCAATTAGATTTCTGGGGCTAATGTGCGTTTCGCTTTAGCGGGTTATTCATTCAATTGAAATCAAATTACTAATAATTTGCAAGCTATCAAGCTGCATGAGCTGCGTTTTTGGCTGGGCTAGAGGGGCAAGATGGCTTCTTATAAATTACTAATAATTAAAAAAGGGAGGTGTACGCCGAGCAAACGGTGCTAACGTGGCTGCCGATGCGCCTTTTCCCGCCGCGGCCTCCCCTGCTCTTCTGCTGATGGGCAATCAGTCACACAGAGTTTAATAAGGGACACCCAGATGGGTCCCTCAACAACCGGCGCAAACTGCTCCTCTGCGCTTGGGAGAGGCACGCAGGCGGGGGGGGTGGGGGGGGCTGGACGCAGCCCGGTCACATGTGGAAACGTGGCCTGTCAATGTTCTTACCCGTGGTGAGGAGCGAGGGATATGGGGCAGATATGCAGAAATCTAATACAGAGGGACTGAGAGCAAATTCCACGAACTCGCCTTGGGAAGAGGCACACAAGGCAGGGAGCAGAAACAGGGGGATTGGGAGCTGTGCCAAACAGCTGCAATCCGAGCCTGTCTTTTTCCCCTCCCCGGACTTCCCCAAAGGAAAGAAAAGCCTTTCTTAGGATCATTTTATGAGATCCGCATCAGTTTTAAGAGAGGAAAAGGCTGGAGTCCCCGCTCCCCAGCGGCTAGACCACCTCGGTTTGCCAGCCGGTGGAAGGCAAAGCTGCTACCGACGGACACGTTAATGCCAGGAACCCGCAAGGTCTCAAATCTTGTTACCTGCGGGCTCGGGCACTTTCTCTCGGCACTGCTGTGGCTGGCTTCCTGGCAGAGGGAGCTGCCAGCCCACTTCCACTTCGGCAGCGGGCAAGTGCCAAAGCAGACCAGCCTAAGAGCTCTGCTGGATCACGCCAAGACTTCCTCTTATCCAAATCCAGTCCGCACGGTGGCCCACCAGCTGTCCACAGGACACCGGAAGTGCCGCGGCCGCAGCCTCCTGCCCCTGTTCCCCAGCACCTGGCATACAAAGACCTTCTGCCTCTGAGACTGAAGGCAGCATATTGTCCTTCTGAGGAGGAAGCCAGCAGGTGGAAGTAGACCGGGCACCCATCTCCTTGCCCCAGTCTCTGCCTCTGGTCACACAGAGCAGGCAGGATGTTAGGTTGCTTAGGAACAGCTCCGCACAAAACACGCCTGACTTGAAGCAAGAGTTGGTGAAGGACATGCATGCAGGACGGGTCCATGAAAAATGATTGTCTGTAGAGGTAGCCCACCTTGACGGAGGTGAGATCTGAACTGTGTGATTTGCTCTGTGGTCATGTATTTCTCTCTCTCTCTCTCTCTCTCTCTCTCTCTCTCTCTCTCTCTATCTATCTTACACACACACACACACACACACACACACTCCTTCCTCAACTCATTTCTAGGAAGGGATTTCTCCAGCAGAGAGCCCCCACCCCTTTCCCCCATTGCCCACCAGCTATAGCACAATAAAGTAGCCATTTCCGCTCACTATCAAATCTAACTCCTCGTTAGACCGGCTGCCGCTTCCTGGAACTCTGCATCAACTCCAGTGCTCGTTTCCCAGATGGATCTTAAATGTATTTTATTTATTAGGGTGACAGTCATAATTATGAAGTGGCGGCGGCAGCAGGCAGCTGTGCCGGAGGAGGAAGTATGAGAACGGAGAAGCGCAGAGCCGGAGGGAAAGGCAAAAGTGGTACCGAAGAACATCTCCTGGCCTGCCTCCCTGGCTGGGTTCGGGAAGAACTCGGCCGGAAATGTGGGTCCTCAAATCGAAGATGTCTGGGAAAAGGCTCTTCTCCGTTCTCCTCTCCACCATCCCCAGCTGGCACCTCTCTATTAATTCCCACTGTCTGGTGCACATTTCCATAGGTAGATGCTTAAAACTCTCCAAGGGGTTTTTTGTTGGGGATGTGGAGAAATTCTGGTGTGTTGCCGTGCGGGTAACAACAACACTGCAGTGCAAAGGGCAGAGTGTCGGCCTGGGACCTGGAGTTCTAGTCCAACTTCGGGCCAGTTACCATCTTTCAACCTCACCCACCTGGCAAGGCTGTTGTGAGGATAAAATGGAGAAGAGGATTACGTTGGTTGCATGGGTTCCCCCCAAGAGGAAAGAGGCAGGACCCAAGTAAGATTACTTGAATAACGGCGCAAAGGTTTGCCTTTGAGGTTTCGTTTTCCTATTTCACTTGCATGTTTTAATTTTTTGTACAAAGTAGGATTTCTTTCTCTCCAGAAAACACCCACGCACAGCACTTACGAGACTCTGTGTGTCCTAGTGGTTAAGGGGGCTG